GCTACTTGGTCCCAATGGAATTTCCCATTGGGAACCTACTAGCACTAAGTTGCTAACTGGTTAGCAAGATGCTTCCGACAAACCGGCCACAATCAAATTTGTTTGCGAACCTTCGGCCTCAACAATCCCGCCCCCTTGATAAATGACCAATCACATACACTTTATTCACTCGCGTAAAGTCGGGCACCACTCAGGAGAATTCGGAAACAACGTTTTGGAACAGCCGCTTCACTACGACTTTAAGGTTTCATTGAATTTTGTTTTGTTTTTTCCATAATGGAACAAAATGACCTTTGCAGTCAGAGATCAACAAAAGGTAACATTACAGAGGAGCCAGTTCAGTTATATCTGTTCACAGCAGCCAGACTTTACTGCAGCCCACATAATATTCAGTTCAATTAGTTCAAGCTTTTCCAGGGAAGCTGAATCTTTCAGCAAGTTTCCTTCACAGACTGAGTTCGTCAGAGAAAATACCACTTCTGCTATTCTTACTTCACTTTCCCTTTCTGTAGTTGAGAACCGATGTGACGCGTCATGGAGATAAAACCTCCAGAGGATCTGCGCCTTTTTACACAGGCTGTTATTATTCAAGCTCAGCTTTTCTTTGTGCAGTTCATGTAGGTTAGGGCTCGGGTTTGGGGTCGGTCTGCAGGGTTACCCACATGTACTCGATGGTGCCGCAGAAGGTGTGTGTGATGGTTCCATCATGAATGGACTCCTTACTGAGGCCAAAATCCGTCAGCTTGATGTGTCCTAACCAAAAATCAACAAATCAGTACAAACAGCCGAGCGCCGACAGGTTCGTCACATCATGCAGAATAAACCTTCTGCTTCCTCACCCTGCTGACAAAGCATGATGTTCTCAGGTTTCAGGTCTCGATAAATGATCCCGCTAGAGTGAAGGTGACCCAGGGCCATGGTGATCTCTCCCAGGTAGAAACTAAACACAAACAGCGTTAGAGCTGAATTGGTTCAAAGCGATGCGGCTCTGAAGCTCAGAGTTAATCTCACCAGGCCGTGTCCTCCATGAAGATGCCCTCCTTCTCCAGCTGCATGAACAGCTCTCCTCCTGCAGAAACACAGCACAGCTACAGACGGCTCCCTCTTTGCTTTCTTATCTTTGTACTCACGGGCGCCATCTTACCGCTCAGACACTCCAGGATGAGGTAGAGCTTCCCGCCCGTCTGGAAGGCATACAGCAGATCCACGATGAACGGGTGTCTCACCTTCTCCAAGATCTCCCGCTCTGCTCGTGTGTGAGCCGTGTCTTTGGCGTTGCAGACTATCTTTGCCTGCAGCGTCACAAACAGACGGTGAGCGCAGAACAATCCAGAGAGCAGCGAGATGAGCCCAAATCTGAAACGGCTCACCTTTTTTAGGACCTTCATGGCGAAGATTTTTCCTGTTTGGGGCCCTTGAACCTTCCTCACCTGGAACACCTTAAAAAGAAGACAGAAAATTATAATTCTGAACAAAATTCCCAAACTTTAACTTAGATACAAAGCAGAACGAATCGACTCATTTTCAAACCACTCCTTTCTATGCCTTTGTGTCGGTCAGCTGGTCTAGGTGCATTGCTGCTCGCTCCATCTGCTATCCATTGCTAAGGTCTGAAATGTGGGATGAAATGTATGCCCTTTCTCAATTCACTAGAACGCGAGTACAGACTTGTGTCCTCGCCAAGTATGTTATTGAGAAGAACGGAGGAAAGTGTGGACTCTGGGAGAACAGGCGCACGCAGGATAAATATGGGTTAACTGGAACAGAGGCGTACTGATGACATCACGTGCTCTGCTCATCTGGAGCTGCATTTCACCTCCTGTTATTAATAGTCTCTAGATAATAATGAATTCGGACTTTTTTCATTTAGTGTGGGAATAATAGTTCCACATAAATCAAACTAACATTTTGCCAAATTACACAAACACTCGCCATCAGAGCCAGCGGTGCTTCATACACGGCTATGCAGAGAGAGGGCTGCTGCAGACGGGCTAGGATTAGCTCTGGCTGCCGTTAGCCTCGGAGGTCCGCTGCCTGGTTGCCGCGGTCCTCTCAACATCAGAACTTTTTTTTAAATGACGCACTAAATCAGTAAATGGGCCATATAGTGACGCTTAAAAGTGTTC